TAGTATAAAATTTGTTTGATCTTTTGCTTTTCTTCTAACCATAGTATTGAAAAAGTTTTGATACCTCTCTGGTTTTGTGTCAGTGGCAAGTAAAGATGGGTTCCTAAAATATTTAGCATATAAAATTTACATCCCTTTATGTCCACATTCCCTAAAGAACATAATTCCTAGCTCTTTATTTCAATAGGGACATAATTCCAGAAATAATTTATATAGATGCTTAAAACTATAAAGAACCTTTGTAGGTAGTTTTTTTTTATTTCTTAATATAGAAATGAAAATTTTTAATAATAAGGGACATTTGAATTATGTCCTCACAAATAATTTAGGGATCCATCTTTAGTGGCGAGGTTGCCTGATTTACTGGGTGTGATCTGGTTGATACAAGACCCTACTGATATTTAAAGAGGTATCTAACCTGATACATTACTGGCTAGTAGCTTGTGAGGTGCAGTGTTAACTTTCTCCTTTACTTTACTATAAATTATATTTCTTGTTTTTTCTTTCTTTCCAGTGAGAAAAAACAAGTGTGTATCTATTTGTATTGAAATAAAAGCAAAGAGTTAGTGTTCTTTTAGGTTCAGTAATACCTGCTATATGTGTTTTTCTTGGATTTTAAAAGAAAACAGTGGAGTGTTTCTTTTTATTAAACAAAGTTTATAAACTTTATATATATTTGTTTAATTATAGAAAAAATAATAATTAATATATCCCAAATAAATATAAATATAATTAAACACAATTAGTAATAAGAAATAATTAATAATGTTTCAGAGTATTTCATAAGGTTCTAGAAGGTTCCAAAAAGTTTCGATATATTTCAGAAAGTTTTAGAGTGTTTTCAAGTATTTTAAGATATTCTGGTTATATATGTGATGTAAATTATTTTGCTGTTGACCTAATTGCCAAAATTCTCAAAAATAATTATATTTGACTTAATTATTTTATATATTTTAATAGTAACTCAATTAATTGTATCAAATAATTGTATCAAATTGCATCAAGGATCTACCAATTTTTATCACATATATAGTTTTGATCACGTATTGTATGGTGCAGTAGGTACTAAAAGGAATTTGGGTTTTTATTAAAAGATTTTCTTATACAATTTTTCCTATTTCAATCTGTTTTTAGTTTATAATTATCAGAAAAATTAAAGATCTTAATTTTATATAACCTAATCAAATTAATTTAAATTCAAATATTTAGATATAATATTTGTAGAAAAATTGATAAACCTATAAATAAAAGATAAATTTATATATTTTTGTCTCCTATAGATATTAAACTAGAAACATATATTTAAAGATCTGAAGTATTACTTATTATATTATTAATCTATAGATTTAAATTTAATAAATTTGTTTAAATATATTTTTGAAATTAAAAAATATAAAAAAAATAGAATTATAAAAAATATTTGTAATATTATAAATATAAACAAAAATATAAAAAAAACAAAAAAATAGAAGAAAAAATAAACAAAACTTTTAAACTTAAATAAATTTTAATTAAAAATTTTATTTCAATACACTAGTTGTTTTAAGAGTTTTAATTTTTAAATTAGAACTTATTTATAATAAAGAATATAAAAACAATTTTTTTGACAAAAATTCTTATAAAATTAAAATTTTTTATAAAATATATATAATCAGAAAAAAGTTTTTATTTAATTTTAATTTTGTATTTTATAAAATTAAATTAATATTATTAAAAAAAACAAATATAATTAAATATATTAAATTAAAAAATAATTATATTTATTTGAAAAAAAATTATCAATTAACAATTATTAAAAAAGATAAATTAAAAAGTTTTATTATAAAAAAATATTAAGAAAATATTTTGAAATTAATAAAATTTTGAATATAAATTATATGATTTTGTTATCAATCAAAAATAGATAAAATATTTGAAAATATATCTTGTTTTATAATATTTATTAGTAAAATAAAAACTCTTTCCACTGATCCCCTTGCCAACCCAAAAAACAGACATTCTCAAAAATATTTTTTTTATTTTTGATAATAAAGTCAATACACTTTCTTTAAAAACATTACTTCCTGAAGGCAAGTGTCTCCCTTACTTGTTTACTTTTCCTTCTTTGAAAAACTTTGAATATTTTAACAACAAAATAAACAAAACCATATCCATTTGGTCTACAGCAAGAACACCTTACTGGAAAGAAGAAACCTGCAAAAAAATACCCTCCATTATTTTCTCCAAAAGGTCTAAAACTCTAGAAAATGAACCACTAATGAATGCATTTCCCAAGCTCTATAAGAACCTTGGGTCCACCATAAGTGAACACCTTTGTCTAGAGGTGGATGGATAAGCTAGTTGGGCCTGCCAAGCGAATGCATTTTCCAAGCTCCATAAGAACCTTGGGTCCACCATAAGTTAAAAACTTCTGTGGTTCAGGCAAGTGAATAAGCTGATAGGAATCTACAGTCTGGTATATGATCCTGTCTCATCAATTATATATCCTGTATAGTACTTTCAAGCATGTCAAAATTTTCTTGGTTTTTTCTGAGGAATTTTGCCTACCTCAATTTGACCCTGAATTTTTGGTTACACCGGATTCTCTGGATAGTGATTGGCTGAAATCTTGGATTGGTTGATCGACATATAAAAGAAATATAAACAAGACACGTACCCACACGTGCCCTACGTTGTACCACATTATAACTGATAATGTAATTGGATAATGCGAAAGAGCAAGGTGTCGAGGAGTCCTCTTGATAAGAAGTGTTTGGAAGTTTTCACCCTTCCTTCTTGTGCTGATTTCTTTTCTCCTCAAGGTCAAAGAAGGCTCTCATTAGGCTAGTAATTGGTTTTGGTGGGGTTTTTATATTACCAGTGCAAACTTTTCTCCCTCCTCTTTATCCTTTCCTTTTATTTTCATAAAAATAAAAAAATTTTTTTTTTATACCTTAGGACCACAGAGATTAAATTGGGGTAAACAGTTTTGATGAAGGGCTGGCAATGACATTGAGATTCACAAGGAACATGAGTCAATATAGAGCAACTTTATTCATTCCCCTTAATCACATCTAGAGGCCATTGGCTGTTGACAGGTGTGCTGTATAAAGTATAAAAGTTTAACCTATAGTATAGATCTGTCAAATATTGATTGTCTACCCATTTGTACCTGGGGTCAGTTCGAACCCATAATTATAAACTAGTTTGAACATAAATAAACTTGAATATATGATCTGATTAGATGTAAAAAAAAAAAAAAAAAAAATAATAATAATAATAATAATATTTATTAGTAAAATTATCAACAATCTGCTAATTTTTTTCAACTATTATTAATGCTGATATAAAGATAAAATACTGTAGATTTATAATACAATTAACAATAAATAAGTATAATACGATTGTAATTATCTTATCAAATGAATATACTATACTTTCGTTTAATACAGATGTGTTTCAAATTGCCAAGATAATTTTTTAAAAGAATTTCAAGTACTATTAATTATCAAAGGTTATCATTTTAAACTGAAATATAAAATTTATTAATTATTTTTAACAAATCTTTTTTCAATAACTTGATATAAAAACATTTTGCATTTATAGTATTTTATCTACAAACTAATAAACAAATTAAAAAAAATTAATGAAATGGTAAAGAAGATCGAGAAAAATAAAATAGAAATTATGGTTTTATTATAAAATTATTTATTATCGCCTGAAATTTTAGCCTAATCAATTTTTATCTTTATATTATATATTATTCGCGACATGTATAATTATAGGATATACTATAATTTGTTTGAAAAAGTTTTCTTAGTATTAATAACAGATAATGAGTCCATTATTTTCCCGAACAAACGCTTAAACAATATTAAGATAAGCTATCTTTTCAGTTATTGAATTATGTGATTTTGCCAAGTTGGGATTTGGTTTTTTTCTTTTAATACAATAACGGCTAATCAATATGAAAGTTGTATCTCAACATTATAGCAGTTGCTTATATAATAAATTTGGGTCTAACTACATGTTTTTATGCGTAGCAATAAAAAAAAACCGCGAAGTGATCATGTGAGCACAGCATATTATCTATCGAATTTGCTCGGTTGTAAGATATCCCCTTTGAAACATTAATTTTTCATTCACCAGCCCTTTGATAAGATGATTTATAACATTGCAATAAGTTTGGAAAGAAGAAATCTCTTTCTCGACAAATATTCTCATCACGTGATAATGATACTATACTGTAATACTGTAAATCTTTGGAAAAATTCACAATATTATTTGTTATGTAAAGGGCTTGAACATTTTATTTTAAAAGTCATGATGACACATACTGTACATGTCGGCACGCAGGTTAACCCTAATGAGTCACGATATAACAAGGACCCTTGAACAATTCGGTCGGTAAACGGTATTCGCAGATTCTCTTGTGTACCCTCCTGTAAAAAACGATAATTTTCCGTGGATGATGTCACATTTGTTCGTGTTATCATGGACGAAAGGTTCCTCATCAACAAAAACCCTTTTTAATCAAAGTGGGAGATAACAGATTCGACGACAATTAATCAGACGGTGACCTCAAAATTAATCATACGATGATGACCTCAAAGATTCTTCTGTAACGAGATAAACCTAATAAGTTGATTACATATATTTTAAATTAATCGTTTAACGAGTAAATTGCCCTTTATGAATGTAAACACACCTTGCTTTACACAGTCCAGCGAAGAATGTATTTCAGCTAGTTTTTGCTGAAAATTCGTTAGTTGAAAATGATTTACGAATAATGACGAAAAAAAAAAATTACGAGTGTGGTATAAATGTCACGTAAAAATTGTTCATTATTAGTCAGAGAATTTACCATTAGATGATATCACGAACAGTTTGGATGCCATTGCAAAATCCTTACCTCTGTATACGTAATAAATACAGAGATTTTCTTTTTCGTGAATAAATGACCGGAATCCATTTCTCTTGAGTATTCAATCGATATTTACATCGAATATTAATATGACGTATTAACCTCTCTTAGACATGTCCATATAAATAGAAAATTGTTCTTGCACTTGTGCATCATCTTCTGTAAGGCAATGCCAAAATGGAGGTTCGTTCATATTTTGAGAGTGCTTCGCTTTACCATTATTGCTATGTCTATGTCATAATCGATTATTGTAAACCAGGAATCGGACTTGATCGGGCTCATGGATGACGATTCAAAGAATGCAGCTTATTATTT